AAGATGTTGCAAAAGCGCGTCCACTACTGTCTGGAATATTTGATGCTGATCCGTTGATAGAAGACTGCAACCAGATGCACATTAATTTTTTTTATAAAAACCAGATGCACATTATAATTTCCAGTTAATATAAAGACATGTAATACAAAAATTAAAACATTAATCAAACAGGAAAAGAATACGGACAACAGCCATGAATCATGTGACGCATCCAAATTTGATTTTAAGTTTCAATTAGAAAGACATTAGACAATAAAATGAAGAATATTTCCAAACATTCCATCATTAATGACACATAATTACTAATATTTTGAACCAATTGACATTTAGTGGAGCATCATTGACCTATAATCAATAGGTGTACTCAAGGTTCCTAAAAGCAGTATGCAAGAAGATATTGATATGGGCAAGCACATACACATATGCACAAAAATAGAGGCAACAGAATCCAATATGTTGCGTCTACAATCTACGAAAATATAGATCAGATTATCATCTGCTAAAACAACTAAATGGACCTATAGAAGATACATACTTCATTTAGATAAATTAAAAAAGGGAAGTCCGTAAACAAGATTGATGTTCAAAAAAGATTGCAACACCAAATAAATTGTTTCCAGTTTAAGTAATAATACATTTAGTAACCCCGACATTTTATAAGTGTCAACAGGTCATGCAAAGAACCATTCCTCGTTAACAAGCAAACCAGATTTGAGAAACTGCAACAGTATTTATAGCCTGAAAAGGACAAAATAAATTGTGAGAAGCTAACCCCAGAAAGGCAAGAGATGCTGAACCAAATCCAAATATATTAGTAAAACAGACCCAAAATACTTCACACATGCTGAACAACAATAAACTAAAACTTATTTCCAGTCACTTCCAATAAATGGCACCAAGAAAATGATGTCCACCTAAGCTTATCAACATCGCATTTCGCTACATGCTACTATCTTTTTCCACATCCCATTTTCCACTTCCAATTAATGATTGCACACCGTATTTTCTCAAATTAAATGATAACCGGAACATAAAAATCAAGAAAAATATTAAAATGCGGCATGTCTCTCTATTTATGAAGTTCTAAAAGCGGGGGAAAACCCTATGGAATTAATTCAAAAACTTTGGGCCTCGAAACCATTTCACAGTATTCAAATTATGGAAATTTTGCAAAGTAGAAAAGACTACAATCCCTTGACAAACCATCTAAAAAACACCAATAAAACAAAACCAAATTCGCACCAGCCATAATAATGCAAAAGATTTTAGGCTAAAAGACGAGAGCAAAAGAAAAACAGAAATAATCAGAGTAACTGATTCAGTATCATCTTAAACAAACTAATCTTCCGTATTTCATTAAAGAGGAAACGAAGAGAAAGGGAAAGACAACTATATACCGAAGATTCTCTGTGGAGCTATAAATTTCGTTTCCATGAACTATGTTTTCAATAATTATAAAAGAAATGAATGGGAAAATACACTACTATTCAGGTCAGTTCAGTTGAGCTAATCGACCGTCTCCCCTCATTTTCCAAGGTTTCTCGGTACCCAAACAGAAACATAGAACATAGAGTCTACTATCCTCATAAAATCCTTAAAACTATACATGCAAGAAAAAAAAACATAAGATCGAATTTCAGAAAAAAAACTGTGCGATTGGAGAACGAACTCAGAAAAGTCAAGATCGAAACCCAGTAAATAGTGAAAAGAACCTGAAAGGTAGACCAACGAGCGAGAGAGATCTTTAATTTTCTCTAATTTTCGGCGAGCTGAGTCAAAAAGCGAGTTGTTGCGTTTTTGCTTGGGTCCAGTTTATCTGAGTTTGCCCTGAATCGAATGAGTGAAAAAGGAAGCCAAAAAGAGATGGGTGAGCAGGGAGGGGGAAAAAAAGGCTGTCGTGATTGATGATATGTTAATAAGGACGGATAATGTTTTGCCTTCGGTAAAAGTCGGCCCAATCCAAATTTTTTGAGCCTCCTTTAAAGCCCATCATATTAATTTTAGTGTAAACTACAAAATTATCACATTTGTTTGAGTTTTATAATTTTTTCTCACCGAATTAAAAAAAGTATAGGAGTTGATCACATTTGTTTCATTTTAATTAAGATGTGGTCATTGAAGGTTAATATCCGTTAAATCTGTAATGGTTTGTTGACATGGCACGGTAAATATATAAAATTAAAATTACATTATTTTCACGTAGATAATACGTGGATTAAGTTTTGGTCACTTTCCTTTCAAATTTGTACACTTTTACTCACCAAATTAAAAAAACATAAGTTTTAGTCACTTACGTTATTGTTTTATTAAGTTTTGGTGTATTACATTATCGTTTTATTAAGTTTTGGTCACTTGGACATTAAATGTCGTTAGTTTGATGACGTGACTAGTAAAATGGTTTAATTTTTTATTTTAACTCGTAAACTTTAGACAAAATAATGACTATGAGTCTTTTTGTAAATGTAAATTAGTTTAGGGACAACATTTCAATTTACTCATTTTTAATATTTTTCCTCCCCAACCCTCGATATTGCTCATCCTCTCTATGCTTCTTCTTGAGACATCTCTGCTCCATTGCAATAGTCTTTCTTGTTTCTAATTATTAGTTTTAATTATTTGAAGTCAAATTAGGCGAGTTATCAATTGTAATAAAATATATAAAAAGAAGTAATTAAGATCAATGGCGACATTATCGATTTCACAATACCAGATTTCTATCTCCGATGTGTTGTTGACCAACGAAATCCCCATGATACGAAAGATCGTCAATAATGTTTCGTCGCATTCGAACGTGATCAATCTCCACGACGTTTAAAAAAAATCAAATCGACAATCACTTAGTACTGAAGCTCTACTATGGTGATGAGTTGTTTGATCGGGGCATCGCGAAAGTGAGGTACTCGAAGGTCGGTGCGATGGTAGTGGTGTGGCAAATCACGCAAGCCGTAGGAGTTAACAATGATTCATAGGGATCTTGAATTGGAAAATTGCTTGTTCTTGAGCAAAAACAAAGGTTTAACGTTAAAGATCATAGATTTTGGATTAAATTCAGTGAATGAATTCATGGATCCAATTACTGGGTTGTTTGGATCCATTGATTATGTTTCATCGGAGGCGTTTTCTCAAGGGAAAATTACCACGAAGAGTGATATCCGGTTATTTGGTTATTTGATTTGTCTTCTTGTTCTTTGTTGGATTAGTCATTCTGCAATCTCAATCTTTAGAAATTGAATTTTAGTTGGTATAATTGAGATTATTCAACTTCATTTTATCTATATATGTCCACCCTCTCATTTTTTTTCTCTGAACTTGTGGTGATATTATTTGTTACAGAAAGTTTTAAATCTTTCATTTTTCTTGAAATACAGCACGTGTCCTTGAAAGAAGGCAAATGGAGCAATGAAGCAGAGATGTCGGAAGATGAAGTAGTGAGAAGATAAACAACAATGGGGTAGGGAAGAAAACCTATTAAAAATGAATAAATTGAAATGTTATCACTAAACTAATTTGAATTTACAAAAAGACACATAATCAATATTTTGTCTAAAGTGTAGGGGTTAAGATAAAAATTAAATCATTTTACTAACGGATCACATCATCCAACTAACGGCATTCAACGTCTAAGTGACCAAAACTTATGTTTTTTTAAATTGAGTTAAAGTGTACAAATATGAAAGGAAAGTGACCAAAACTTAATCCGCATATTATTTACGCTGAAATGATATAATAAGAATTTTATATATTTATTGTGCCACGTCAGTAAACCGTTAAAGGTTTAACTATTGTTAACCTTCAGTGACCACATCTTAATTAGAACGGAACGAAAGTGACCAAATCTTATGTTTTTTTAATTCAATGAAAACAATAATTATAAAACTCGAATGAAAGTGACAATTTTTGTAGTTTACCCTTAATTTTAAGGGTAAACTACCTGGGTGGTCACTTATATTTTTAGTTTTTCTTATTGGATTTTACCTGTTTTAAGCCACATTCACCAAAATACATATGCCATTTGCTGATATTTTTTATCTATATCTTTCTTTTGCATCTCTCTATATATGTAACTTGTTGCCAAAAAGCTTTGATTTATCAGAAAAATGGATATCTTATACTTAGCTTTAATTTTACATCAAGTTTCAAAATTATATATGTATTGATATGTTTATTTGATTTAGTTCAATCGTTTATGCATGTAATATTTGATTACAATATAGTTTTATAGAAAGGAGCATAAGTTGGTGGATTAGTCAGTTTGCTGGGCACATGTCTGCCTGAACGTCATTAATTAACTATTAAGTATTTAATGTTTAACATAAATTGGTCCATCTGTCACCGGCCAGCCTATCAACAACCTCCTTTGCAATTTTTTTATTTAACCCCAGATTAATAAATTATTATTCGTTCCATAAATGGTGTGCACGTATAATGCAATCATCTATGTTTAAAATACGTGTAATTTTGAAAAGAATTACACTCATATGATATAATGAATTATTTTATTTTATAAGATTTATTATTTAATTTTACCCACCACCATTAGAGCCAGGAACAAAAAGCAACCACTCCATAAATTTTCAAGCTTTAAAGTAGCCCTTATCTGTTGACCAAAAAAAAAAACTTTGTATTCATTATATTTTTGCGTATAACAGAAAAAGAATAACTTTTATCCAACATTGATTTACCAAACTTGAAATTGGAATCTAAAAAGTTGGCTTTTTTTTCTTATTTGTTCTGCTAATTTTCATTTCTGTTTTCACCACCTTTTGACAGTTAATTTTTTGTTTATTTATTCATTTTGGTTTCTCATTCATTTATTATTATTATTATTTAAGAACATGAAACGACAATAAAAAAATATCTAGGAATATGTCAATGTATAAGGTTGTCACCTAGTTCAAACCAGCTTGTGCCTTGCGAGATTTGTGCAGTTTTTATCTGTAATTTGAACTCCAATTGGAACTCTGTCAGATTCCAATATAGTTGCTTAAAATATTTTATTTTTTTTTCTCTCTCTTGGAGTTCAAAGGTTCCATCTTTTCTTTCTCGATTCAGTTCTATTGATGTTTCTTTTGGTTCATTTTAGCTGCTTTGTTTATTCAGTTCTCTTAATTGGTTCCTAATTTCTGTTATGTTTTGCCATTAATCTTTAGTTGTTTCTCTAAGATCCCTGGATTTAATTTCTGGATTTTGAAAATGAGTTGTAAAGTATTTGAAGTTCTGTTCTGGCTTTCTTCAATCTTGTGTTTAACATTGTTTGCTAGAGGGTTTACACCTGCAGACAATTACCTTATTAATTGTGGATCACCTACTAATACTACAGTGGGAGATCGAATTTTCATGGCTGATAAGTTAGCCTCAAAGCTCCTTTCTTCCCCTGAGAATGTTCTTGGAAACACCTCAAGATCCGTCACCTCTGATGATGATTCGTCACTCTATCAAACGGCAAGAATCTTTACTGGTGTTTCAAAGTACACATTTTCAATCAGCCGGCGTGGAAGACACTGGATTCGCTTTTATTTCTATCCATTTGTTCATGCTAGTTACAATATGAGTATGGCGGATTTCGATGTTTCGACGGACAACCATGTTCTTCTCAGTAGTTTCAGTGTTCAATCTCTTATGGTCAAGGAATTTTCTGTTAATGTAACATCCAGTAGCCTTGCCATCACATTCAGTCCTTCACAGAATTCATTTGCTTTTATAAATGCCTTGGAAGTTGTTTCGGTCCCTGATCAGCTCATCCCGGACACTGCCGGCTCCGTTCAATCTTCGGTGGAATTCCAAGGGCTAACGTTGCAGGCGCTAGAGACGGTAGCTCGGGTGAATATGGGAGGATCTACTGTCTCCTTCAAGAATGATACTCTTTGGCGAACATGGGTGCCTGACCAGCGTTTCCTTGTAGGAAAGAACCTTGCCTTAAGTGTATCAAATATCAGAGCTGTTAAGTATGTTGAAGGTGGTTCAACAGAAGATATCGCTCCAAATTCGGTCTATGGTACCTGCACCAGAATGAACTCGGTGAATGATTCCACCAGCAACTTCAATGTGACATGGGAATTCGACATTGATCCCGGATTTCAGTACCTTGTTAGATTTCACTTTTGTGATATTGTCAGCGAAGCTCTTAACCAGATGTATTTCAATGTTTTATTGACTCCTCCATGGTTGTTGGGGACCTTGATCTGAGTACATATTTGGTTAACGTTTTGGCTGCTGCATATTATATGGACTATGTCACAGAGTCAGCTACTAGCAATAAGCTTCAAGTAAGCATCGGCCCTTCGAATTTACACGGTACATATCCGGATGCCATACTTAATGGGCTGGAAATCATGAAAATGAACAACTCTGATGGCAGCCTTTCTGGCTTGGGAACCATCAGCGGTTCTAGTTCGAGTTCAAAGAAGAACGTTGGTGCTATTGTAGGTGTTAGCGTTGGGGTGGCTGCTGGAGTGTTGTTGGCTGGAGTTCTCTTCATGTTGTGTAGAAAACGAAGACAACTGCTGCGCCAGAGGTTATCGAAGACGTGGGTGCCTTTCTCTATTAACGGAGGAACTTCCCACACCATGGGGAGCAAATACTCCAAGGGGACGACCGTCAGTATCAATTCTAATATGAGCTACCATGTTCCTTTTCTTGCTGTTCAAGAAGCCACAAACAACTTCGATGAGAGTTGGGTTATTGGGATAGGAGGATTCGGTAAGGTGTACAAGGGAGAGCTCAATGATGGTACGAAAGTTGCTGTTAAAAGGGGAAATCCACAGTCCCAACAAGGACTTGCTGAGTTCCAGACCGAAATTGAGATGCTGTCCCAGTTTCGTCACCGACATCTGGTGTCGTTGATAGGTTATTGTGATGAAAAGAATGAGATGATTTTGATCTATGAATACATGGAGAACGGGACGCTCAAGAGTCATCTCTATGGCTCAGGTCTTCCTAATTTAAGTTGGAAACAGAGGCTTGAAATATGCATTGGAGCAGCTAGAGGACTCCATTACCTTCACACGGGCTATGCAAAAGCGGTTATTCATCGTGATGTGAAGTCGGCAAATATCTTACTTGATGAGAATCTCATGGCTAAAGTTGCTGATTTTGGATTATCAAAGACAGGTCCTGAACTTGATCAGACTCATGTCAGTACAGCAGTTAAAGGAAGTTTTGGATACTTGGATCCCGAGTATTTCAGAAGGCAACAACTGACAGAAAAATCTGATGTGTATTCATTTGGTGTGGTTTTGTTCGAAGTTCTTTGTGCAAGACCGGTGATCGATCCCACTCTTCCAAGGGAAATGGTAAATCTAGCTGAATGGGCAATGAAATGGCAGAAGAAAGGACAGTTGGAGCAAATAATTGATCTTAATCTCAAAGGAAACATCAGGCCTGATTCTCTCAGGAAGTTTGGAGAAACCGCTGAGAAGTGTTTAGCTGACTTTGGTGTTGACAGGCCCTCCATGGGAGATGTTTTATGGAACCTGGAGTATGCTCTTCAACTACAGGAGGCCGTTGTTCAAGGTGATCCCGACGAAAACAGTACAAACATGATTGGGGAGCTTCCTCCACAGATCAACAATTTCAGTCAGCTTGATCCTAATGGTTCACCACAGTTCGAGGTGTCAATTGCGGATGACCTCTCGGGTGTTTCAATGAGTAAAGTGTTCTCACAGCTGGTGAAGTCCGAAGGAAGGTGATTCGAGCCAGACCTAAAATCCATTGAATTAAACTTCTTTTTCGACTCTACTCACATGGTTTTTCTTATCCGACAAGTATTCCTTTGTTTTTTTCATTGGTAATGGTAGTATGTCAGCTCATCATCCTTTACCATGATGTGGTTTCTTTGGTTTGTCATCATTCATCATACAGACAACTGCGCAAAATCCTGTGTTCTAAAATGTTTGTGTAATGTGCTGTGAGCTCTTTCGTGTACAGCAAGGATCTGGGGTTTGTTCTGAGCTTCAGGAAGTTACCAAAGATGTTGCAATTTTCAAAATTTCATCTACTTTTACCTGTTTCATACTTGTGTCTTTCTCAGTTATGCATCTAAATAACTCAAATGTGTGAAATTTGATGACTTTAGCATGAAGAAAAGTTTGCATTTTCTTATTAAACATTTTTCATCCCCTCTGCAATTTGTTCTCTTTTACACAATAATATCTGAATCTGTAAATTGCAGTGTGTTGTCACTGAGTTTCCTGGTTTTGGTATATGGGACAATCCCAAAAGCCAGAGCTGAGTTATCGAATAAGAATCTTGGTATATGGAAATCAAGTACTGAGATGAATTTTCTCTTATTGAAAGGAAAAAAAAACACTCAAACAACATTATTAAAACAGATTGCACCGGCAGCAATGAATGATGGGGGAGCATGAATGCACATGCTCCGAATTTTCCATCATCTTTTATGGATCTGGCTTTAAAATGTTAAAGTCTTCGAATTGAGGACATCATATCTAGCTCTAAGTTTTTTTTGACACTTTTCGATACAGCTTAACCCATAGTTAGATTTGATAACCACGATATGATCATACGATATAAAAATAATAAACATAACATAATATCAATATGATAAGAACACGAGCTGTCATTTTTATGTCTTTTCTCAGGAAATATTGTACACAACAGTTAACCTACTCTCCCATCATCACCATAAGAAATTGTAATAATGTCATTGTCATTGTCATCATACTATTTGCTATATTTATTTTCTGTTGTATGTCCCACAATATTGAGGAAAAAAGAGTCAAAAAGCCATCGGCAAATCCCACGAGATCTTGTAATAACTAATCTGTTCTTTAGGCAGTTATGTATAGAAATAGTATAACATTATTAGTTTACCTACATTAGTCTACAGCTCCTCACCCTAATTTCCAGTGATGTTTTAGCATCATACATCATTATAGGTTAACCCAATAAAACTTGCTTTGTGAGTACAAAATACTCTCTTTTGGTCCCCATTTACACTAAAAAATAGTTTTCAAAATTGTTTATTCCATGGTTCAGGTTAACCCGCAAAACTCTCTTAGGAACTTCAATCCCTACAAGGCTTATGTCATGTTCTTTTTTCTGGCTTAGTGAAGCCCATTGTTGAACTAAAAAAAGGGGAAAAGACAAATCATTAGGCACAAAGTTGCGAGATAAACAAAGAAATTGAACTGGCTGTTGTAAGCCTGTGTATGCTTCTGCCTACTGTGCTTAGTATGAAATGATTCTAAGATGGTATATGTTCAAAAATTTTCTTATCATTGACAACGAACGCATACCCTACAGACAGATGTAACCGTTCGAACTTCAAACCGAGTTCTCTGAAGAAAACAAAATTCACTCTTTACTACCGAAACCACTCAATGGATTCTGCTTGTCCAATAATTATAATGGTGGAAATGGATAAACTTTACATAATGATGAATTCTTTGCAACCAAGTTATTAATATAAAGCCATTCGTTGATAAGAAAGCTCTATGCAATTTTACAATTAACATATCTTGATTGAGGGGAGGAAAGGGTATCAAACGGATAAAGCTATCGGAAAGTTATTAAAAAGAAACAAGAAGAAGGAAGCCCTGAAAGGCTGAAACTGATAAAAGTAATGTTCAACCTCCATGATCAGCCACATCAACCTTGGTGGTGCAGAGCAAAAGCCTACGGAATATAGCCAATAAGGCGGGACAAGAGACCGATTTGGCCCTTCTGAGCGCCACACACTTGTTGGCAACAGTTTTGGACTTGTTTTTACTTCTAGGACTCTTCACCTTTTCCTTATGAAATCTGCCAAAACATTTTGTTTTTTCAGGCTCGGTTTGATCGTCATTGTTCCTATGAAACGTGTAGCTCCTCAGGTACATTTGCCTACAAGAAATGCTATCAACAATGGTGGGATGTGCAGGGCCGCCCCGGCTACTGCCGTTGGATCTCAGTGACCTGACAAACTCGGCGTCTGATTCCGGCCACTTGTGGAGGTTCGCGTAGGTTGGCCTGATTGAGACCTTAGCGTCATCGATGCAGGTTGAAATACAGGTTGAGGCCATTAGGTGTATGTAGGAATCAGGGTTTATAGAAAGACGGCTTCAAATGAAAGATCCAGAAGAGAGATATAAGGGAGAAATTTTCGTATAGTAGAGTTATAAATTGATTTTTTTTTATGAAAAATGTAATGAGTTGGCATTATCTGGTAAGTGTATTCATGGAAGAAAGCGATTGTCATTTTGGGTGTGTCCTGAGAATTCAAGTAATTTGGATTTTGGATGTATTTGTCAATAATAACCTGTCATTTTTGATGTCATAAAAACGACAGGATCTTCCATATTTGATGTCTGCATGCTTCCTTTTTGAAAATTTTGAGACGTTTGAGACAAATTAAATGAGAATTATGAGTCATTGTCATTTGAGATTAGCAATGATAGAGATAATTATGGTGGATTCTGTCATGATGAAACTTTAGGCCTAAAAACATCTTAGGAATGTATGTTCTGCCTCGATGATCGAAGTGTGAACCTAGCTCTACTCAGAATAATATTAGTATAAATCAACAAGGAGCTGGTAAAGTTTGGTTTAAATTTAATTACGTAACATGTAAGAAAGTTTCGAGGAATATCTAGTTTTTTCTTGAAGTGATTATCTAGTGTTTTTTTCCAAAGTATCTTCTAAGGTAGCAGTTTAATCCTTTGAGATTAAACGCTCACACCCTTAATATTATTTTATCACGGAAGTCACTTGATTTGTGTTATTTTTTTAATTTTATTTTGATTTTAATAAACATCATTTCTATTTTGATTTTACTCTTTTTAATATATTTTTTAAAAATTTGATTTTTGTCTACTTTTTTAATCATATTTATTTCTATTTTTATGACATAATTTTTTCTATCATTATGATAGTTTGACGTTTCATGTTACATTCATTATGATTAGGAGTGTTAAAAAATACCCGACCCAGATGATCCGAATGACCCGACTCACCGACCTGATCAAAAAATTTGGGTACTTTTAAAAACAATCAAGTTCAGGGTTGGTACCCACCTACATTTCTCAGGTCGGGCCTGGGTAACAAAATTATTTTTTTCAAGTACTCGATTACATTTATTTTTTTATATATAATAATATTACATATTTAATTATTAATAATTTTATATATTAAATTAAACTAATAAAATTAAAAAAACCGGGCATGTTTTATTTATATTATGGATTTTGTATTTTGTATTTCAAACTTTTAAAATCTATGTTTTATATGTTGGAGTATGTAATTTGAACTAATAGTTGTGCGATTGCATTTTGATTTTAAAAATAATAAGACAATGATCTTTATCAACGAATTAATAGTGTACCCTCCGTGTTATGCTCAGGGGTGACCACTGATAATTTCCGAAGTAAATCTACAACCTTTTTAAAACTTGCATCATAATTTCTTAATTATTTAGGCAATATTTATTTATTAGGATCGATAACAAAACTTTCGCATAAAATGCCCGATGGTGGTCGTTATTGGTCTTGGTAAACCGATAACCTTTTCAAAATTTACATACATGATGGATTTTAAATTAAATAAAATCTCAAACTCAAAGTTTCCAATTTTTAAATATATGGTAATCAGCTAGGTACCAATTTTTTGACGTTGCGTGAGTGCTACTCCTTCACCACCCACGCGTAAATGACTCTTGAACCCGATTTATAGTTTTCATAAACTAAAAATTTGTATTTTTTTTATAAAATAAAATAGTTGATCTAGAATAGTTGATCAACAAATCAAATATCAAATAGTGATACCAAAAAAGAAAGTAAAATTCCGATTCTCATAATTATCAACTTATTACAATAGCTAATAATTACTCCTTTGTGATTAAATTGTGGTATTTGAAGGACTTTGAAAAAAATGCAAAAGAAGCAGTTCATAGAATCTTCAAAAGACAATGAATGCAGCCATTGTTTGGTTCTTTGTTTTGCTTATCAAATTGGGTTTCTGTTGAAAGCATTTTCTTAATTAAAATGATTACAGAGATCTTGGAAAGATCTTTCTTCTTCTTCTTCTTATATTTACGGTCTATTTATGAAACTGTAATTCTATTTGAGTTGTTCTTTCTTGGTAAGAAAAATATATTTTTATCCACCTAAGATTGTCTCTTATCCATCCTTATTCACTGTATTAAAATTTGAGATAGTACTAACACCATTGAGGTCGTTCATGTAATAAAACCTCGCCGCTTATATAAATATTACATGAGATTCGCATTAAAATTTGAGTTATTTTATTTATATAAATATTACATGAGATTCGTCACGAAAGAAACCAGAATCGTTTATGATATATAACACATGTTTAATTGTAATTGGATATTTTTAAGATCAAAATTATAATATTTTTATTATTATTTTGAAAACTTAAAAAATATAATGTAATTTTAAATCTTGTTTATGATAGTTGTATCATCCTTTTCAATTAAACCTTTTTTTCTCATCATAAATCTTTTTTTTTTTTGGAAAATTAAATATTTCAAATACTTTTTTTTATGTTTTCACTTGTAATTATAGCATTATTGTAAGCAAAGACAATAGAGTTTAGAGTTAGAATGTTAATTACTTTTATTTAGATTTTTTAAATGTTTAAAAAATTATGTAAAAATAAAAAATATTTTGACATTAGTTAATTTTCTAGAGTTTAAAATTAAAAGAGACATAAGAATGTTTAAATCAATTGATAATAACTTTAACATTTTAAATCAAAATGTTAACTTTTTTAAGACATAAGAATTAAATTATTTATTTTAATAGAGATCAAAATAAAATTTTATGAATAACACAAGCACTAAAATAAATTCAGGTAAAGTACATAAATAGATTCCGACTATAAGACGATGTTTTGTTGAGTCCCCAACTATAGGACATTGTTCTGTTGAGTTTACCGACTATTAAAATTTACAAAATGATAATACAAATATTCATATGTTTTAAACTCGTCATTTTTAATGAAAAATTTAAATACAATTTGACTGAAAATTAACATGTTCACTGAGATATAATAAAATCTGATCCTATAATCTGAAAATGATGTTATATCTAAATCAGTATATTAACGTCAAATTTAGATGATTGTCAATATTTTAATAAAAATGACGAGTTTAAAACATATAAATAGTCGAGTATTCACTTTCTAAATTTTATATTCAAAAGACTCAACAAAATATATCTTATGATTATTTTATAACTTTTAATGATAAGATAACTTAACGTATCAACCCTCATTATTCGCTTTTAACCCTTTTTTTTATTAGCTGAAGCTAAACTCATGAATATAACTAACCTGGTGCAAATCACCGGTACTGAAAACTCTCCTCACCGGACCAGAACAGGAGTCAATGAAGTCGTTCAGGCTCGAGGAAAAACGACAACGAAGCTCATTGCTTTGAAGGGAATGGCTACTGACGTTTCTAAAGAAACTTGGTGTCTGTGTCGGGGAACTGTAACTCCCGCTCCTGCTGCTGCTGCTGCCACTCTGAACCACCTCGGTGGCCGAGTTGAATACAGAGAGTTGAAATAGCGGACTTAACGGCGACGACATGACGTGGGTAGATGTCAGTAAGTCGCAGAGAAACTTGGACGAAGAGCGCTGGAATGCTGGCTGTCCGTACATAGAGAATGCGCGCGTGGCTCTGGATTGCTTAATTTTGTTTTTGTTTTTGAAGCGTAAAGAAAAGAAAAGAAAGAGGGGGTTGAAGAGAGCATAGAGGTGCAGAGCAGCTACTTATGAAGGAGCCCAAGGAAGATGGATGCTGACATTAAGATCATGTCATCCTTTAAGGAGCTCAGCTTTGACCTTTTTAGGTGTTTCGAAATATAATAAAGTGTTACTTAAATGTCATTAAACAAATACATGTTTGACAGCGAAATTGTTTAGTTAAATAAAGGTAGGAGTCAAAGATCTTTACTCTTAAAAAAAATCAATATGGTCACCATATTATTTTCTCTTAATATGATCATCGAATTTAGAAAATAAATCTAATGTGACATTTTGATAGTTTGATCAACATTTTTCATCGATAAACATTACATTATTGATGTGCCAGTTTACGATGTTGACGTCATAGAAGTCTATTTGTCATATTTGAGGTACAAATTTAGTTAATTTATCACGTTAATTTGTCACCCTAGATTATCATGTCAACACCGTGGATTATCATGTGAGCTTTGTGAACTACCATATCAACACCGTAACAATCAATAACGAGAAACATTGGTCAAAAAATCACATTGTATTTATTTTCTGAGTTAAAATGTCATATTAAAAGAAAAAATAATACGATGATTTTTTCCTCTAAAAGTACAAGAACATGAGATGCCTTTTTCCTTAAATAAATAAATGTTTTGATGGAATTTCAAAGGACTGTGTAGTATAGTTATTAATCACTAATAGGCTACAATATAGGTTTCAAAGTTAAAATACAGTGTTCACCCTCGTTTGAAATTGTGATTGACATTAATTGAAGATTAAATGAAGATGACGTAATTAATTTATGATAAAGAAGTTTGAAATATAATTATAATTCGATATAGAGTATGATGTTCTAGAATTATAATGCAGGCGTTTACCGGGAGTTATGGTTTACCTTTGCTGATTCCCTTGTTTCTATTGTTAATTCGGCGTTGAACACGGCCTCTTTCCCAGTGGAGTTAAATCATACGTTGATTGCTTTATTTCCAAAAGTTTCTCCTCCTGATTCAGTTAAGCATCTCCTGCCTATAAGTCTGTGTACTGTTACTTATAAGCTTATCACGAAAGTCCTTGTTAACAGACTTCGGCCTTTGCTAGAAGATTTGGTGAATCCGCTTCAAGCTAGCTTCATCTCAGGAAGACAAGCGACAAATAATATTCTTCTTGCTCGGGAAATGGTCCACGGGATTAAACGGTTCAAGGGAAAAAACGGCTTAGTGGCTATGAAAATAGATCTTGAGAAGGCGTATGATAGAGTTGGATTAATCTTCTACTGTTTTGTGTTCAATGTACTAAATTTTCTGTGCTTTGGAATGGCCAAAAAACCGAGTTCTTTAGT